TTTCTCACTTTTACACATGCACCAAAGCCTCCATATTGGCGGCTCTGTTTTCATGCTCCTCTAGGCCGCCAAGAGCTGTGATTAGCATTTCCTCCATTGTTGGGAGCTAGTGTTGCTGGTTATTTTAAGGGAATGGTAATAAGGGAATTTTTAAGCTCTGTCAGGTTTTGGAGTCACACAGCTGGGATTTGTCTTGGTGTGGCATATCCAGGTGGGAGGAGTGACGATTGTATTAAAAAGCAAATCTTTCCATCACAAAACAGTGGGTGGCCAGATCAAATGTTCTCGCTCAGTCACATTCCCTGGGTCACCAAGGAATATGTGAAAATTTCATTCTTCTGAAGGAAAATGAGTGTGGTTATGAATGTGAGTGAGTGACAGAGGGGGTTATGCCAGTGCTTTGTGTGTGTTTGACAGAGTTGCTGATATGGAGGTTGTGTGTTCATACATACATGTGTGTGTTTTTATGGCGATGCGGGGGGCGACTGAAAATGCACATATTTAAAAGGCGTTAAAAGAAGGCGGTAAGAGAGGAGGAAATCTGGGTCCTCGTCTTTGTTTACAAGAGCCTGATTTTTCATGTCTGTTGCCACGCTGCTCCATTTGATCACTGGCCTGTTTGCTGTTAATTATTAATTATTTACCCTTTAAAATATTCATGCACTCTGGCCCTAGTGGAAAGCAGCCTTTTCCAATGGGCAAGTTCTTTCTATAGCCACTGCAATTTGGAGCTGTTTATACATTCTTATCAGGGGACTCCATCAACCCAGCTAATGAACTAAACTTCCCCCTGCCTGACGCTCTCTTAATCGCAGGTCGGACGAGGGAACCTTGCAGCCTGTTTGCCTCTTTGATGCTTAAATATTTGGATTTGGATTTGGCCAACGTGAGTGTCCTGTCAGCTGTTCTCCAGCTGAGGAGTTCAGTGATAACGCGGGAGACGACAGGAGAGGACACTCCTGTTGAATGTTGAATGAATGTTGGATGTCAGCAAGGTGTAGCTGTTAGAGAGTGTTTGTCTCACAGTGATAATTACAGCAGCAGGGTGTGTGTGTGTGTGTGTGTGGAAGGGGAACAGAAAGGAGGTTCAGGAGCTTGTTTCAGTGGTGCAGGGGACAACAACAGCAGTTGGACTCTGAGAGGAAGCCAAAGGGACAACAAGGGATTTTAATGTTTTAAGGATAAAGGCAATTTAACTCTGCCTCATCTGTTTACACACACACACACACACACACACACACACACACACACACACACACATACATATACATACATATATATATATATGTACGCATACTGTTCAAAGTGAAATTTCTTCTTTATGCCTTTCAAACTCCACTTCATCCCAAAATACAATCACCTATCATCTTTGAGCTCCTCAGTTGGTCATATTGAAGAGCATCACATCTGAAGACCTTCAGATAACTGAACCTTTGGTACATACTTGCTTTTACTATACAAAAGAGTATGAGGCAAAAATATACTTCTCTACATACATGAAAACGCTGTAATAAAAACAACAACGTATCACAGAACACCTGCTTCTGGGAGCAGGCCTGGAGTAACCCCCTGAGGGCCCCAGGGACAACTTTCAGCTTCGGGACCCTGTTGAACTCCCAGTTCCCATCAAGTCCAGTATAGACAGAGTCCCAGAAGCCAAACAGTTCTCCTATTTCTTGCATGGTGGTGCAGTGGTTAGCACTATCACCTCACAGGAAGAAGGTTCTGGGTTGACTGGGATTTTTCTTTATGGAGTTTGCGTGTTCTCCCGTGCCTCTGTGGATTTCCTCCAGGTACTCTGCCTTCCTCCCACAGTCCAAAGACTATCAGGCTAGGTTGATTGGTGACTAAATTTCCCATAGATATGGCTATCTCCATGTATCAACTCTGTGATACACTGGTGACTTGTCCAAGGTGAATTTTCAAACTGATTATTTTCAATGACAACACAGTGATAAATTGTAACTCATTCTTTTCTTCTGCAATTCTGGTAATATCTACAACACAGTATGTCAATGATTTTAAAATGTCATTTGATATAGCACTTATTAGATTATGTTAAATTATAGGTTAGCCTGTTTCTGCCAAGGTCTCTGTGGAAGGTTTGATAAAAATAGTTTAGTTTAAGAAATTAGGCAGTATGCTGAAGCTCAAGCATGCTTTCTCTCATGTTTATATCTCAGGTTTATGGACTATATTTCAGTCACTAATGTGTGTATTGAAGTCATCCTGAAGCTGTTCACTCCCAACCAAAATGTTCAAATTTGCGAAACAATTTGCACTCCTGGAAACTAAAGCATGATCCATGTTTTTAGTCATGTTTGCAGTGATTTGTTCTCTTCAGGATGAATTGTAATAACTTTGTAGTGTTTTAATTTGTGCAGTGCTTTGGTTTATGTCCAAGCGCCTGCAAACCTAAAGTCATTCAGATCAGTCTATGCTGTTCTTCGTCTTTAGTGCTAATTAACAATATTATCTCCTAAGTGTCTAAATAAATAAATAAACAACAATGTCAAGGGTGAAATACAATGAAACGTGTTACAAATAAATCCAAACCAAAATGTCACTAACAAAACCTTAGAGGCTACTTTCAGCTCAAACAATGGCTATAGTATTTCCCACACAGCATTGTACCTGTGATGTTTATCCTGTAGTTCACTTTAGTTTGCTGGCTTTAAATTACATGAGATGAGATGTATGGCAGTGACATATAAGAAGAGATACATGTCTCTGTATGGGTTTCTGGATAAACTGTTGTGAGAAATGGACTGCACAGAGGGCACCATTTGGAGGAGCGTGGATTCTTATTTTAGCAATAGTGTGAAACAATGAGGTCTCTGGGTATGTTGTTGGGCACCCTTCCTGTCAAGGTCAGTCCCAGTAGGGTGCCTAGGTGACAGGACAGCCTGACCATGCATGTAGTCGGCACTCAGGTTTCAGCTTGCATCATGATGACACTGCTGCTCTGGGGAATAGAGTGCATAGAAAACAGCAACCAGGCAGAAAAAAACCTCCCAGCAACGCCTCAGAGGGCAGCAGGGAATGGCACAGGGGGGACCAGGGTTCACACTGCTACAAGATCATACAGTCACCTACTGGAACCACACCACACAATGCAGCTCACATAGCTCAGAGTGCATAAAGAAATTGTTGTTTTTAACAGCTATTTAACCAGATGACTCACCAAAGAACAGCTTATTTGTTTAGAAATTTATTTGACAGAAAATTCAAAGAGATTCTGAAATGAAAGAGAGAGTGTAAACCTCCGTCAAGGCAACTCAATTTCCCCATAATGCCATTACACCTAAAAGTAATATTCCCATGATAGTTTGACCTTCATAACACAATTTCATGAAGGTGAATGACACTGGTATCATTATTAGTTTGAAAATTATTCAAACAAAATGATAGACATGAGTATTTACTATCACAAAGACAAAAAATGGCAAAATAAAAGTCCCATGCAGACAGATATAATAATGTGTGCTTACAGTTCTTCACAGACACATTCAAATCATGCCATTTGGCAGCATGCAAGTCCACTTCAGTTTAAACCCTGCGTAACACTCAGACATGGCTCAGCATAACCGTGAACAGGCAAAAAAATTGTTGTTAAGGCCGTTCTGTCATACTGTACAGTGCACAGAGCAGACTACACATGACTGCTTCTGTTGCACATTCAGCTGGTATACATTGAACCAAGGATTTCTGGGGTACCTGGGACAGTCACATGTTTTGCCAGGTTTGTGATCCAAGCTTGCCTCTAGTTTTGGAAACCACAGAATTTTCAGTAAAAATTCAGAAGACATCACTGCTCCCAGTGGTAGCCACAGCCCTGATTACTTTATACTGAAAAGATTCAGACAAGTGATACATTAAAGGACAAACCTGAATAAATGTGTGGTCTCTTCTAGGATGACAGTGTCCCCATCCATAGGACACAAGGGGTCAGGGAGATTTTCTCCACAACAATCAGCAAAACATCAAATAAAGGAATGTGGTGTGTGTGAGCAGAAAGCACACAAGTAGATTGCTGTAACCTTTTAGCAAGATGAGCAACTGTCACACTTTATTAATTATTTTAAAAACCAACAACAAAACAACCCCCACTCATCCATAGCAGGAGTCCTACCCACTGGAAACCTAACAGCAGTCTCTATAGCTGCATATTCTTGCAACTCAATGTGAACTACAGCCGTGTATTCCTTGACTCTATGAACTAGTAACAGAGCAACAGTGGCAATGTGTGAATTATGTCTAACAGTGTTTGGCCAGTATACCAGTTCCCCCAGAACTCATAATCACAGGCAGTGACAGTCTGTCAGGCCTTGCAGAGACAGCTCACCTGTGAGCAGCCCTGTGGGGTTGAAGCAATTGGACCTGGAGTATCCAGGGGCATAGAACTGTCTGGCAGGGGTCTAGGGGTGCAAAAGTGAACCATGGCTGAGGTCTAACACACTGTGGTGTTGCAGCAGATTTGAAAGGTTGGTTGGGATCCCGATGGGCAAGTTTAAGGTGATCAGCAGAAATAAGGTTGTGCCTCTCCCTAATGTCAATGAAAAAGGCCTTGTCACCTCGTTCCAGAACACAAAATGGGCCAATAGGGTGGCTTCAGTGGCAGTTTACCAACTGCAGAGCTGTTGAGACCTAGTATGGGGGTGTGCTGTAGTGCGAAGCCACATCCAGTGGTGCTGAGCTTCAGGCCGGGGGGACATTGGCTGTTGGTATGAAATCTTTGGGCACACGAAAAAGCTGCCCATACACCAAATCTGCTGAACAGTTTTCTTTAGGCACAGTCCTGAGGCCCAGTAGCACCCTTGGTAGCCGGTCATGCCAGGCACTGTCAGTTAGACTGGCTCTCAAGAAACCCTTCAGCGAGCGGTGGAACCCATTCACATAGGTTGTTCGCTTGAGGGTGGTAAGCAGTCATTCAGTGTAACTTCATGTCTAGGTTCTGAGCCACAGCAGTCCAGGGTGCTGACATGAACTGTGTGCTGCAGTTCAAAGAGATGTCAGAGGGGGTGGCAAGCTGGGCAATCCAGTTGCTTATGAAGACTCGTGCTACATCAGGGGTCGCAGTGGATGACAGAGGAATGGTCTCTGGCCACCTGGTGGCTCTGCCCACCACAGTGAGTAGGTGTGTGAAACCACAGGAGGGAGGGGTCCTAGCAAGTCTATGTGGACATGTCACAGTGGTGTCAAGGAACCTGGAGTGGACCTGGAATGCAGTGTAAAAGGCCACTTTTGATGGCAAGGGGGCGGCCCTATCTTTGGTGATGCGGTGACCATGAAAGTAAGTCATGAGTTGCCTGAAGTGGCACTTGGTGGGGTTTATGATTAACCCATGCTGGCTGAGGCAATCAAAGAGGACCGGGGGCATGAGAAGTGTTCCTCCCTGGAATTGCTGCTGATGAATATATCATCAAGGCAAACGAAAAGGAAGCCCAGGGCTTTCAACACAGAGTCCGTTAGTCATTGGAATGTCTGGGCCACATTTTTAAGGCCAAAGGGGGTGTGCAGGAACTCAAACAGGCCAAAAGCACCAACTGCTGAAACACAGTTTGACTTGGCTAAGATGAATTGGCACTTGCTTGGTGCAGATTTCCTATATGCCCTCAACCTCCAGTGCCTGGTGGATGCAAGGGTTTTTGTTTCTTTTCACTGAACACTCAGTGACATTCACACTGCAACCCTGACTAGTAGGCTTATATCCGCCTGTGATTTTAACTGCTTGTTGGCTGAATTCTCTGAACTTTGCACACCCACCTTCTCCATTGCTAAGAGAAAGCATGGGGTGGAACACCACCTTTCCACTATGGGCCCACCAGTATATGTCTGTGGTTGCTGTCTAGCCATCACCAAGGCTGAGTTTGCTACCATGGAGAAGCTGGGACTCATCCGCTGCTCTTAACAGCCTATGGGCCTCACCTCTGCCCATGATGCCTAAGCCTGATGGGGTTTGCGAACTGTGTGGAGACTATCACCTCCTCAACAATACCACAGTCCTGGACCATTACGCAGTCCCACACCTATGGGACTTTTCTGCATATTTAGCTAGAAAATCCATATTCCCTAAGGTGGACCTGGGGAGAGGATACCGCCAGGTGCCTGTGTGCCCTAAAGATGTCCCCAAGACTGTGATCACCACACAGGCACCTGGTGGTATCCTCTCCCCAGATATCTGCACCAAGCAAGGGCCAATTCACCTTAGCCAAGACAAAATTCCATGCAAAGCACCAACCTCTGAAGCACAGTTTGACTTGGTGTTTTCCAAAGGTGGGATCTTGCTGCTGTTGGCAGCCACCACTGTCGGGTTGGTGGCACCGGAGCGTACATCTATGGGAGATGCCAGCAGTGGCTGGTGGTGGCTGTGCCTGAAAGTGCAGGGTAAGCAAAATTTCTTGGCTTTAACTACATAGGGTACATGGTAAAAACACTGTCAACAATGATGTTGCGTTCAAGACTGGAGTGGCATGTGAGGGGCGTGGAGTGGTCTTACCTACAGCAGCGACAGGATAGTATGTTTTTAAAGTCGCATACTTATTTGTGTTGGGGGACCTTCCAGTAAACTCACAATCGTGGCTGCTGTTGACCTGCTGAGAGATGTAACAACAGTAATATCTTGTGTCATCTGCTGTGATGTCACTAAGGGCAAACTGTACTTCTGCCTTAGTGAACCATGCTGTAGCTTGCTGCTCCTAAAAACTCCAGTAATTTCAAAGCATTAGCAGTCATGTCGATTTAAACTCTGGAACCATCCAATAGCACTGGGGTCACCGATGTGGTGTTTGTGAGGAGAAAGCACACACGTAGATTGTGGTAACTTTTTAGCAAGATGAGCAGCGTCACACTTTATTAATCGTTCTCAAAACCAACATAACAACTCCTGTGTATTCCTTAACTCTATGAACTAGTAACAAAGTAACAATAGCAGTGTGTGAATAATGTCTAACATTATTTGACCACTACAGGAATATCATTTGGAAGAATGGTGTTCCTCCCTCCAGTAGAGTTCAGAGAGTTGGAGAATCAATTCCAAGGTGCATGAAGCTGTTCTGGTGCATGTGGTAGCCCATCACTTTACTGAGTCACATTGTTAGTTTGTCGTTTGTCACTATGAAAACTAGCGACACTGAGGTCTGCCGATTATCCAGAGTAACCGAGGAGAGGCGGCAGAGAGAGGAATCTCAGCCAGACTTCTTAACCCCAGACAAATAAAACCCAAACTATCTGCATGGATAAATACCGTACAACCATTCAGGTTTACTGAACTGACTCTTTCATGTCAAAAAAATGCATGTGTTTGTCCATGATTTTAAATAGGTTATTTGTGACCCACTCTCATGTTTGGTATGAGGCAACCTTTGGGATATATTGTTTTAGTATTCAAAATGATTATTTGAACAATTAACAATGTATACACCTGATTCCCCTGACTGTTTTCAGGGAGGTTAGCATCAAATCAAAGCTGGACCTTCCAGTCTGTTATATCAGATTCACATCAATCAATACTACATGAATATCAAGTGGCACTGAACTTCTGTTGTCTCACTAGAACATA